GGACGCACGAACATGCGCACGCACGGACGGGCGAATGGACGCACGGATGGTCACACAGACGGACGCATGGACGGATGGAAGCAAGAACGAATGGATGGACGGATGCTTTGCCCCACTCTCCATCATTCACTCCGTTGATATGCTGCCATTTTTTTGAAGAGCAACACCACGCAACCTGGTGACAGCTCACAAGCGAGATAACATCCACTATCTTGAACAGCCCTTCCCCTACGCACCCGTTGTCTTCTCGCCATTTGATGGTGGCTTGTACCAGTTATATGCACAGCGTGGGACTCGCCGTCTGTGTAGAACACACAATGGGCTGGTGGCAGACTCGCCATTGTCAGTATTCAAAAAGCTGCAATGCGCAACGCCAGGGGCGGCGTCGACCATGGCGTTCACACCACTCCCACCACCAGCAATTCGAATGTGCGTCTCTTACTTGCTCGCTGCTCATAGTGACGTGCAGTCATCGTGGTCCTTGCCCCCTGGGTGGAGTCAGTATGGAGCCTCACCCGCTCCGCTCAGCTGAGCGAGCGTCGCCTGATTGGCTCTCAACGAAGTAAGGTCCTTAGATGGAACAAGTTTCCAAGATAGCGACACCTTTCCCTTTTCTCCTCGCCTAAGTTCCTGGAGCGCCCCCTTGAAGGTTCAAAGATTTCATGAATATGCGAATGTTTGGGTTCAGTTGCTACGGTTAATAGATGTAAATAAATGAAACGAAATGGAACAAAACGAGTCGTACAATAAATGTTCCCCTTTTTGAACGTGAATGGTACAACACAAGAGCAAGCGGGATGTGCGTTACTCTACTGACAACATTGCGCAGTTCTATATTTTACACCACTAGCCATAGCGTCTCGCGTTTTACATCGTAGTTAATCCAGTTTTAACTAGTCCAGTTCTCCTAATGTTTTTGTTTGTGCTGTAACACAGTGAACGAGCTTCTTACTGGATCTTGTCAGTGACTACAGGGCATGACTTTGCGACGAGCGATTACAGGCGCCTTGTGCACACGCAAGAAAAAACCACGACCAGGCAGGTACGAACACTTGACTTGCAGCACTGCGATTACGTTTTCTTTTTAATGTGCCGCTTTTTGACAATCGTGTTGCCAGGTGATTCTTGTGCGGTGCGTGGATCTTCCTGGAAAGTGAGACTTCTACTCGTGAGATGCCCCGAAAAAGCACGTTTCGGCCTTTTTATGACGTGTTCTGGTCAACTGGTCAAGCGTGAAGTGTTCCTGAAGGTGCGTTGATTACACGCCCCAGCATACGCACAAGTATTTGTACCAACTGGCATGCGCTAGACCCGCTTTATACGCGCGCCTGGGGCTTCAATAATGGCCGACAAAATAACTCGCTTTGCAGATCCGCGTCGACGTACGTCGACGGAGTCGCACGGAAGCATTCACGTGAGATGTTTCATAGCTACACTTGACGGTGTGCTCCATTTCAGAAAGCACTAGGTAAGTTCAAGAGAGCGAACCCATTTTCTGTTGTTTTACGGCAACGCAGCATTGTTGAAAAGCGCGGACGTTGCACTGAACGAGCACCGCGAAACCATCTTGGTCGACTTGGCGCACATTGAAAGGCTCCTCCTCTACAGTTTATGTCCTGGCTACGATTTCGTCTTTGCTCAGTGCGAGAATCCAGCTGGGGCGATATGTGCATGCGTACTCGTTTTGAACCTTTTGCCTGATATTAAATAACACCACCCGCCATTTGCAAGATCACGTGCAAGGAATGCACCAGTGACAGATGCGGATGGCAGAGAAAAAGAGGGGTAATTGAGAGAGTGATGAGGATGGCTCGAGAACATTGAGTGACGCTACCTTGGAATCTTGTTTTATCTAGGGACCTTACAATAAAGAACGCAATTGCGCCTCTAGCGGGAGGAATAAGCACTAGCGTACACATCAGCGCGATGACGAGAGACAACCCCCCAGCAAAAGAAGCAAGCTCCTAAAATATCTCTGCAAGGCATAGAGCAACGCGCATGCTTTGTCTAGAGGTATTACCTCCACATTCGCCACTAACGCTCGCCGACTGTGGTCGTCCCACGAAATATTGGGGCTGGCCAGGAGATAAGATCCAACGCACATTGCCTTGTTCTCTGGTTGGGCCGCGGTATTCAAAACCTCCAGAATGCCGTGAGTAGGCGACCTTAGGCCCAAGGTCAGCGCCCAACAACTCGCGTTTACCGGCTGTCACATTGCTTTCTCTGGTGCCACACTCACTTATGACCACTACGATATGTTTATTCAAAATTGATGAATGTTAGTCGTCGGGATGGAGATGTTTGATGAAGCGTTAACGTGGATGCATCAACGTTAAGGGTTGTGATAGCTGTCAAATACAAAAAAAAAATGCGCAATCTCTATTCTACCAATGTACTGTAAACCTAAAACTGCTTCTCTAAGGATACATTTCACTTTTGTGTTTTAGCGATTCTTATTATGAAAGTATCATACGCGTTTTTTTCCCGGAACTATTTACTCTCACCTTTCTTTGTATTTACCTCTATCGGGCTTTCTTATTCCACCGAAGTTATCAAATGTTCTGTTATCGCCAGTAATAATTTTGTAGCAGCCTCAGTCCTGCAAATACTATGGTATTACTGGAGCGGACGCCTAAGAAGTTTCGTAAATCTGTAAACTAGAGCAATGAAATTTTTTTGTTGCATATCTGGGCTTTTGTGTTGATTTTATACTAATGAATGATTCTGTAGTATGTTGCACACTTTTCGTTTTGTGCAGAGACAATGTTTAAAATATAGCTCTTATTGGACAAACTTTTTATGCCAAAAAACTTTTATATTTTTGTGGTATTAATGCCTCATACTGCTCATAAATAGCTGTAGAGGACAAATAACTACCAACAAACTGCTTATAAAACATTTTTAAGGGCAAAAAATTTGTAATGTGAGAACTCTTACAAATCTTAGCCTATAGTACCAGCCTGCTTGAGCTACTAATAATTACCCAGGCGGTATCAAGTTTTAAAGCAAATACTTGCACGGTTCATATGTCATGCAATGTCTCAGGGTGAACAAAATTTCACCCTGATCTAGCTTTCAGAAGTACCAAAATATGATGTTGGATCACAAGATGTTGCCGTAGATTGAATCGTGCAAGAAGCGTAAAGGTATAAGCCAAAACTCACGCATGCGGCAAAGGTATGTTTTCAAAGTGATTTCTTCCGTCATGACAGCCGCTTATAAAGGGGTTCTGTGAGTAACTCCTCAAGATCCATCAAAGTTCATTGTCTGCCCATCTGTCTTCTATCAAGAGAGCTTGAGAATCATTGTCATTTCGAGAATTTAGTGAATTTCTCAAGCAATATGCAATGGCAAGTAGCTAGGTGAACAATTACAGAAGGCTATAGATAATGAGTTGTTTTTGGTTTTGGTAGTGACCTTGGGTTATTAAAAAAGCGATTTCAGCCTACTGCGATTTTCTTTAGAACTTTCAGTTTTCTTGTTGGGCAAGAAGAGAAACCAAGGTTTTCAAAGGAAAAAAATGCAGCTTTGAAAAAAAGTCTTCTGTTATCCGACTCGCATTTCCATTTATAATTGATATATCAGAAATCTAAAATTTCGGGAATGTCAATACTGGGCGCGCGTACGCAATCAGGCATTGCCGTGGCACTTTACGGTGGTAGCATCGGGTTTATTAGGGCTCACTCTGTAATTGCAAACATATAAAGGTGAAGTTAACGTTTATTTCACGAAAAGAGCGAGAGAAAAAATACCATTCTCTACGGGGCCGAAAAAAAAAGGCTATAACATTTTGCTGTTTACCTGTCCCACAGGAGCACATACATTTATTGAAACATGCTTTGCGGTGTCTCATCAATCGAATTCGTGCAAGGCCACATCACTTACTTGGCGGCTATGGACAACTGTATCGTGTTGGAATACAAGATAGCTGCACTACAGTAGAGTCTTCAAGCTAGCACTTCACCTTGTCGTTCGTACACTCGCGGAAGACCTCTTCAAGTCAGAAAGCCACAGCACGTTCGGAGAAATTCTCGAAGCCCAATAGTCTTGATAAATGGCCAGAGTGAATTCAGCGAGTATAGTTTATTCGGCATTCTTTGACGCAACGACACTGTCGTAGGTCATGACACTGTGCAGCTGTCCAAGAATGTATGACCCGTCGTTTTCACATGCGAATGCCACGTGAATAAAACTTTCTCAACTTAAAAACGTCGAATGCGAAAATTTTGTGGTACCGACGAAGTAGTACCCTGATTTAGTTATAGTTATGTGCAACGTAAAGTGATAATGTAGTAGGATGTATATAAAACTAAGTTACCGTCCTTATCTAGAAATTCTGTATATATCAAGTGCTGACTTTATGCGCGCTAAAAAGCCTCACTTTCAACATTCAGCAATAAGCATATATGTTCTGAATACAATTTTGACAATACTTTCAGGTTATAGCGATGTAGGAATTATAAAATTAAATAGCCATTCTTCGTAACTGAAACTGTACAGATACCACATTTATTTATTAACATTATAATGCACAGTTATATTTCTTAGTAGCTACACTCTGGCGCTCATGATTACAAAATTTCGGAAAAGCTTCAGCGTTTATAATGCAGGACTGTATACTAAAAGCGTTTATTTTAGAGACAATATTCTCTTCTCAACGGATTTAATTTGCTGGTATGCATACGTGGTGCAGGGTCGGTTAGCCATCTCAACCAATTTGTTACATGCTAGCGCCCGTAGAGAGAATAACAGTAAGACAGCAAGACAAGAATATGAATTATTATTGAAGTGCTATTATTCTTCAGTTTTCCCTTTGTTGCCCTTTTCGACTGGCCATGGCTTGGTGGCTGAGAAAACCTGGTTGCAATATCTCCTCAAATTTTCGCTCATTAATCGTTGACAAGCGTAAGTTAACGGAGGGCGTCATTATGTCATTAGTAAATACCGACCGAGTGCAAAAGGCTTTTGTCAGCTTATTCCACTAATAAAAAAAGCACTACCTTTCTGTTCCCCAGCTTCCCCGCTGACGTAGTTGAAGCAGATGGTTACATATATCGCTGAAAAAAAAAAGCAATCATTTTCGTTATGTTGAAAGCTTTCAAAAAATAATGGCAATCAGATACACGCTGTTTTGCAATGCCAACAAAAAACGAAGACACACAATGCACAATAAAAGACCACTTAGAAGAACGCGACGTAAATGAACTACTCATATTTACGAAATTTTGCAATCTCCCTCGAAAGCGGCTTTCAATGTAAGGTTAACCTACTTTGTTTGAACAAAATTCACTGCACAGCACATTTAGGTTCGGCAAATATCTCACTGTTCTAGCATGGTTTTAGCGTCGATTACAGCAGCAGCTTTGCCAATGGCACAACGCATAACTTGATCGCGGAAACCCTGATTTTGCGTTGACAATGGCGCTTCGTTACCATGCGATAAAATGAAGAAAGAGAAATTAACTTTTTGTTGGCCAGACTCCTTGTACTTGAGCTCTAAGATGGGTGACATCATCAGTCCAGGCAGCTATGGGTGGGCCTTTACATTCCTTGTATTCAATTTGATGCCTACATATTCGCACGCGTCTTTTTATTATTTCTTCTCGTGTTCTCGTGCATGGGAAGAGCACCAATGTAGTATTGCCGTACTTGTAAGTGTTCAGCTGTTGTTCTTATCATTCCTCCAAATATTGTATTTCCTCAACTTTGTATCTAATTGGTTACCTGTGATGTTGTATGCCCGCTTCCTGTATGGGTCTGCAAAAAACCTACAGTATTTTTAAATAAATAAATAAATAAATAAATAAATTTTGATCCATTCTGATTTCACTAGCAAAGTATAAGGCTGTTTGCAACGCTCGACGCAGACCGCACCACAGCGCTTCATAAGGTTCACATCTGTTGAAGATTATTGAACGAACATTACACGTAGGGCAATAATAGTGAAATTTAGTAAACAGCTTATGCAGACACAAGCCATAACGCTGGGATCTTCCATTCAAGGCACATGTCTGAAAGCGAAACGCTGAACTACTTATCAGACTTCTTCTCAGCTAAAGATTGTTCACGTTACTTTCCGTGTGAAACATTTATTGCTTGATCTTAAGGGGCACTGAAAATTTTTGGGCGTGTTCAGAACACTCTGCCGACTGATACTCGAGGCTCCCAAGAGCCCGTGAACCAAATAATATACCGCAGGATTGGACCCGGAATTCACAACGAATTCTCAAAGTCATTAAGACATTGCCTGCTTTTTACTGGACTAATGCCACAACAGGCGCAAGATCTCTACGTCCCGAAAAAAGAAAATTGTACGAAAAAAGGGAATGAAGAAGCTTCGTTTATTTGCTGATACATGTTTGACGACAAACAACAAATAAATAAACCAAGGTTGGTGTAGAGGACGTTAATTCATTGTTTTTAATGTATTTTAGTAAGTACAAAATAAGTTTGAATAAACGAATGTTAATTATCCAACAACCTGCCGCCGACAAAGAGCAAGCCAGCAACCTTCGCATTACGAGCCCATCGCTCTACCAATTCAAGCTACGGCTGCAGTCATCTTTTATATGCATATATGTTCATCCAAAGCTCGCCGCGGTGGTCTAGTGGGTAAGGTACTCGGCTGCTGACACGCAGGTTGCAGGATCGAATCCCGTCTGCGGCGGCTGCATTTCCGATGGAGGCGGAAATGTTGTAGGCCCGTGTACTCAGATTTGGGTGCACGTTAAAGAACCCCAGGTGGTCAAAATTTCCGGAGCCCTCCACTACGGCATCTCTCATAATCAAATGGTGGTTTTGGGACGTTAAACCCCACAAGTCAATCAATCAAATGTTCATCCAAAGGAAGTAGAGCTAGTCAGTGCTGTTTGTAGCCATTACGGCAAGTTGTGGCCTTACCACGCCATACAAGTCGCTTTGTACGCCACGCTACGCTTAACTAACTGCAATTTATTCTAGTCGAGAGTTTGACGGAATCTCGTCTAGTCGGGACGTAATGCCATTTTATAAAGCAAAAGATAGGACGGTTACCAAGAGGGTGTCAAAAAATATATTAAGAGGCGTTTTGGCTTTCAAACAAAAGGAACAAGGCTTCCATGTGGAAGCCCAAACGTCTTATCACATTTTTTGACACCCTCTTGGTTAAAAATTCTGTATTTTCTTTTTACACTGTAATTATTCCTGCGAAGGATGCGAACGACGTCTATGAAAGAAACTGAAGAGAAAGTAATCATACTCTGTGAATCCGACTGTGCTGCTCAGCTTAGGGTGAGCACCAGCATGAAACAGCCTTTTCACAGTGGGCGTTGTTTAATATCACAAGTGATGCGTTTAGAAAACTGAAGGTTCTTATTAGACGAAACAAGTGGATGCTGACTGACACCTTGTTGCATAGCACGCTAAATAGCAGAATGAGACAGCTTACCAAGTGTGACAAGAAAGCACGTGATGGAGCTGTTCATCGTGAACTGTTCCTTTCTGCTTCTCGGTAATCAAAATTATCTGAATATGGGCTGTTTTTATATCAAGGTGTAGAAATGTGAAGCTGCAAAAATTCAATGTAATGACATTAGTAAAACTCAGTATGCAACTGCATCAAGATAACAGAAGTTCTTACAACTTCCTTATGACGATCTTTGTAGTGATTAGAAGCGTTGACTGCTAACGTTGCTACTTTGAGATCTATGTTTACATTGAAGCATACTTTGTTTTTGTTCTCACGAGAAAGTGGGGAGACTCTTTTAACGTTTTTAGGTGACTTGAGTAGGTGAGACAATTCCTGTTTGCCGAACTGCTATGAAGAGCTTCACAATTGAGAGGTAAAATAAATGCGCAGATCCACAGATAACAGAACGAATTGCGTAGAAAACAACCATATGAACTTCGTTGTTACCTTCACGCAGACACTTATCAAAATGTGTATTGTCATGTGTCCCCCAGTGTACTTTGCAGAATGAAACAGCGGATAACAATAATTTTGTTCCGAATCGTATTCGAGTACACAAATGACTATAGAGCCGTAATATTAGTAATTTAGTAAAAATTTTCATTAGCTTACACACTTTTTTCGCTACGCCTGTCTTGGCTTTACGTAGGATCTCGCATATTCGGAGAATGTAGAGATTCCGCCATGCCATGTGACACAACTTCTCAATTGTGGATAGTTGTTTTTCACAACGATTGTTTACATCTTTAAAGCCTATCATAAACGCTGCATGTAAGTGGCGACGTCGATGCGACCTGTGTCAGTGGTAGTTGGTAGCACTGTGTCGAGCACCGTGGCCGACTTCGGCCTAAACCAACTTGTACAGCGACAGCTGCGCCTTTTCATGCGCTGCCTAATAGTATACGAAGTCACGTACAGAATAATGGCATCTCATGTGTCGTGCTCGACGTCGACGTACATAGCCAGCGTGTCAGCGACGGTCTGTTTAGCCGTTCAGTGAGGCAACTGTTTTGTGGGTGGTAGGCGGTGGTTTGGCGGGGGCACGTTCTGTCATATTTGAAAATCACCTGCGTCATTTCCGCGGTGAAAGCTGTACCTGTATTAGTGATGAGGACCTCTGGGGGGCTGTCACGCAGGACAGTGTCTTCAACAAAAAACTCTGCCACCTGATATTTGGCAGCCGCAATGCTCACCAAATGTTGGGACCACGTACCCAATTCAAAGGCAATGTTCTGTGCTGTGTGTGTTTTATACTTTGTCAAACCACATTGCAACTGCGTTTAGTGTTGAAAGTCAGCGTTTCCTGTGGTACGTGCGTGTGCGGATGTATGTATGTCTGTGTGTAGGTATTATGGGGTTCTACGTCGTGAAAACGTGTTATGACCGCGTTTCCAGTTGAAAAGCAGCGTTTTATGTTTTCGCGCGCGCGTGTGTGTGTGTGTGTGTGTGCGTGTGTGTGCGCGTGTGCGTGTGCGTGTGTGTGCACAAATTCGAGTTAGTAAAACCATGTTGTGACGCCGTTTTCGTTTGAAAGTCAGCGTTGTGTTTGTGCGTGTTAGTGGTCTGTTTGTGAGGAGGTGGAGGAAGAAACTTTATTGTGAGAATCTGGCGACCTCGGCCGTATGAATCCTACTCCTATACGTCAGCCAAGAGCACTTGGGCTCTCGCGGCGTTTTCGCTCTGTCGGATTGTCCAGAGCCCTTTGTCAGTGAAACTGGGTTGCAGCCGCGTTTCCAACTGAAAATCAGCATTGCATGTGTGTTCTTCATCAGCCTGTCTTTCTCTCTCTACTCTGCCCACGTTGAGTCGCGCTCGTCAATCTTAGGAGATAAGAAGCCGGCTTTGCATCGTATGTATAGAAGCGGTGGCTTAGTGTGATTCGATGGCAGATGTTAAAAGTGAGTCGAAGAGACTGAGAGAGCCGGGCTTCATCGTCAGAAAGAAACCAGCAGGGCGCAGCAGCCTAGAAGACGGTATGAGAACGAATCACGCGCCTTGTGAAGTGTAACCGTACAGAAAAAAATGCTAAACAATATTCACATTTAGTTGGGCGTTCGTGCTATCTCCGAGTGCCCAGCTTGCGATCAATTTTATACGGCAAGCTGCGTCCGCAAAGCTGATGTGGAAGCTCAAACAAATCTGTCCTGTGAAGAAGAAGATGTGCCAGCAGCAAGCAGCATCGCCAACGCCCGGCTCTCTCGGCTCGTGCTTTGGTTCGTTGCTGTGCCGATCGCTGGACGGTTCTTCACGCTGTCTCGTCGCTGCCTTTAACGGCTAATAAACCTCTTCACATTTGGTGGAAGGTGCTGTTAATCCCCGTTGCTACACCCTGGAGCTGCGAAGCCGCACGCTACCACCTGTCATGACTGCCAACGCCACTACATCGACGCCTTCGCTCCAGTTCAACTGCCCTGGCCATCCTACGCTACGGGAGCCGAAGGTCTTCAGCGGTGCGGATGGGACCGACGTCGAAGACTGGCTCGAGCACTACGAACTGGTGAGCGCCAACAATAAGTGGGATGAAGCCGACAAGCTGGGCCACGTGATATTTTATCTCACTGGCGTCGCCGAATTGTGGTTTAATAACCACAAACACAACATCCCCACATAGAGCGTCTTCAAGACGTCATGTGCCGAAGTGTTCGGTCGGCCGGCTGTCCGCAAGCAGAGGGCAGAACAGCGCTTGCGCGTCCGCTCTCAGCAGACTGGCGAGACCTTTACCAGCTATATTGAGGACGTCGTCGACCTTTGTCGACGTGTGAATGACACCATGCCCGAATCTGACAAGGTCAAAAACATCCTGAAGGGCATCGACGACGGCGCATTTCAAATGCTCTTGGCAAGAAATCCGAGCACAGTTTCCGAAGTCGTCAGCTTGTGTCAGAGCTACGACGAGTTAAAGAAGCAACGCACTCTGACTCGGCAGCCTCAGCATGGTGGTGAGTCATTGTCCAGTTTCGACACCCTGCCGGACAATTCACCACTGCTTCAGCAAGTTCGAGCCTTCGTCCGTGAGGAAGTCGCCCGCCAACTTTCTTTAGTGCCCTTCACTCACGAGACCACCACCCGTCTACCTGCCCCGCTTCGCACTGCTATTTCGGAAGAGGTTGCCCAAGCTGTTCCTGTTGCGCACCACGAGCCGCCTCTATCCAGCCTTGCCCACTGCCAGCGTGCCGCGCAGCCAGTAGGCCCTCCTGTCGCCTATCCGCCAGCCATGCAGCCTGTGGCCGCGCCCCTAACGTATGCAGCGCAGCCTGTGGCTCCTCCTGTCGCCTGCTCGCAAGTTATGCAGCCTGTAGCAGCGCCGTTCACATATGCAGACGCTGTGCGTAGGCTTCCGCAACCATCCTACACCACGCGCTCACAGCCCGCACACCCGGCTGCTTACACTGCACCTTGGGCGGCAGCACCAGTCGCCAATCCCTGGAGGACGCCCGATAACCGACCGATTTGCTACGCCTGCTTCACTCCCGGACACGTTGCTCGCTACTGCCGCCGTCGACCTCAGGCGTTCGGCGACTATGTCCGATCGTCGCAAACCGGCAGCCAACCCTTCGCGCAATACGGGCCGGTCTCGTCACCTCGCTATGCCCCTCCTAGCGACCCCGACTTCGTGACGCTGCGCGCACCCTCTCCTCGTCGGCGATCGCCCTCCCCCATGCGTCGCCGGCCCAGACCTGACCAGGAAAACTAAGCACCGCAGTTCAAGAGGCAAGAACTGCGCCATTTTCGAACTGTCTAAGCCCTCGCCCCTCTCCTGCTAACGTGGTCGCAGTAACAGTTGAAGGTTATTCTACTTTCGCCCTTTTAGACACCGGCGCCGCTGTTTCTGTTATTGCCGCTAATGTCTGCCGTGTATTACGTAAAGTCACGACGCCGCTTTCTGAACTGTCACTCCACACCGCAAGTGCACAGCAAGTAACGCCTCTCGCAGCCTGCACTGCAAGAGTGTCCATCGAAGGCATTGTTTACACTGTGGAGTTTATTGTCCTTGCTGTCTGTTCGCATGATGTCATCCTCGGATGGGACTTCCTATCCCGCCATAATGCCGTCATCGACTGTGCACGCGCTGAAGTTGAGTTTTCACCCTTTTGTGATGTCCCATTACTTGACGCTCTTCATCAGCCGCCGAAGTTGTTTGTGCATGAAGACACCGATATTCCGCCTGAAAACTTCGCACTTGTTCCGATTTCATGCAACGCCTACACGGACGCTACAGTCTTTTTTATGCCTTCCGATATCTTCACGAGTCGTCGAGCTCTGCCGCTGCCTTTCGCAACGATTGACCTTGCCGCCGGAAGAAGCAATATGTTCATACTCAACCCGCTTTCCACAACTGTCACTTTGCTTGCGGGAGAATGTCTCGGCCGCGTGCAGGATCTCGACCCTTCGTCTTTGGTTGATGTCCCGGATGAATACTGCGACCACCCAAAATCACTGTCGGCCCTCGAAGAGTCGTCTAAGGATACGTTTTCCAGCGCCATCGCCGACACCCTTACTCCCACCGAACATGCCGACCTGCTTGATCTTCTGCATGAGTTCCGGAATTCCTTCGATGTGTCCCAACCTCAACTAGGCCGCACGTCGCAAGTCAAGCATCATGTTGACACCGGCCTACACCAGCCACTGCGTCAAAGACCATACCGTGTCTCCACTGAAGAGCGCCGCGTCATAAACGATCAAGTCGAAGATATGCTTCGTAGAGACGTTATTCGACCATCTCACAGTCCCTGGGCGTCTCCTGTCGTCTTGGTGCGTAAGAAAGACGGATCTATCCGATTCTGCGTAGACTATCGTCGTTTGAATAAGATAACCCGCAAGGACGTATATCCTTTGCCACGCATTGATGACGCCATCGACACCCTTCACGGAGCGGAATTCTTCTCGTCGCTGGATTTGCGGTCTGGCTACTGGCAAGTTCCAATGGCTGAAGCCGATCGCCAAAAAACTGCATTTATTACACCTGACGGACTATACGAGTTTAACGTCATGCCCTTTGGGCTTTGTAACGCGCCCGCCACGTTTGAACGACTTATGGATAATACGCTACGTGGCCTCAAGTGGAATATGTGCCTTTGCTACCTCGACGATGTCGTGGT